GGCTCCGAGTCACCGGCCGCACCTGGGCACGTCGTCGCCCCCCGCAGCCCGCCGGAATCCAGGATCCGCGGAGGTGGCCCCCGAACTCCCCACGCTTGCTATGTTGCCCTTTGGAGACAAAGCCAGGTACCGCCTCAGCATCCCCTGCCCACTTTCCCCGGGGGCGCGCTGGGGACCCGCGCTGCACGGTGGCGCCCGGGTCACGCTGGCCGGGAGATGCCTCGTTGAAAATGAGCTGAATGACTTTTTTGTCTTCTTTTGCTTCTGCGGACGTGGGAGGCTCACACCGGACCCTTTTAAATCCTGTTTTCCCCTAACGAACGTTCTAAATTGGTGTTGATTTCATCACTTCGGGGGGTTTTGACAGAGGCACAGCTTCGGGCTAAAACTGAGCTCCTCTGTTTAATTATCCTTTAACCCCCCCCCTTCCCTGACTTCGCCTACTTCAAAATCCTCAATTGTATCGGCCAGACGTTTAACCCTGAAAGGAGAGTGGTTTCTTTTTAAATGGCACTTTTCTGTGACTTTGGGGTGAGGCACTAAGGCGAAGATTATGGATAGCTGACAGTTTTCAGGGGTCACCTGCCCCTCCGGGGCCATCTGTCCCCAGTTTCCTTTCACTCGTGCACATTCCCATCTGCTCTCACTGAATGGGAGGGGGCCAGAAAACTAGGCTGACTTTGAAAGTTTAGGTTGAGGGTGTTCTTTGGGCAGATGATTAGCAATTTAAAGAAAAAAATTCTTTGTCTTATTAATCAGCATAAATGTTCTTTTCTTTGTTACCCCTCTTTTCTTTGAAGATGGTTTGGTGGTTATTTTTAACTGGTGGTGGATAAAAACTCTTCACTTTCAGAGGCTGCTATAACTTTGAAAATGTAGCAACATTTTGATAAAAAAAATCAATGAAAGCGTTCATTTATTTTCCTGTTCACCTTTTTCTCCCCACAATCTTTAGATCAAAGTTCTAATTTTCAAAATCACAATACTTGCTCTAAAATCACCTGAGACTCCAAAAACTCTTTTTTAAAAAATAGGGTTTTACAGTTATAGTCGATGTTGCTAAAGGCCGAACACTTTCTGTGATACATGTGTGTGTGGTTTTAAGAAGAGTTTATGTGAGAGAAGTTGGAAAGCGAAAGTGTCTACTATTTAAGAGTGGTGCGGGCCCTTAATTTTTGCTGTTTTAAAGAGCTGGAAGTTTCCAATGCAAAGAATATAACCTAAGATTTTGTGTGTAGCCCAAAGTCTTCGTGAAATAGTCTTTCAGTTGGGCTTTCTATTTGGTGATATTAACTGGAGGCTTTTAAATTAAGAAGTTGGGCACTGGTTAATCGTAAAATTGTCAAACCTAAACCCAGTGTAATTCCTCTTATTGTAGAAAAACTCACTGTGTCCATTTTAACTTTACAGCTAAAATTTTGTTTTCTTCCTAACTGGAAGCTCACAACCATTTTTCCTTTTTCTTACACTTTGTAAGTGTAAAATGGTCACTGTATGTGATTCCAGAAATCCATATAAAGCAATAGCTCTGTAGAGTCACAAATAGAGATCCCCTCAGATTGCCTATCTGCGGTCTCTTAATTAGGCTTGCAGATGGATCTAGTTCTACATTAGCTGTGTTTTGACCTTCATGTGGCTTCTCTATGCTGCCCTGAGACTGAATGACCTGTGCTCTATGGTAGACATTGAATATAATGAAAGTCCTGGCGTCCCTAAATTTGCAAACACCTGTGAATTTCAACTGACCTTGAGAGCACAAATGCCGCTCTACTGCATTGGTTCCTCTGTCTTCAGATACTTTATTAAAAGCTTGGAATGTAGAACAGATACTCAACCGACATCCTGTTGATGTGGATTTGAGGGTGCCACTTGGGCAATTCATAATATCATCGATTGGCTACAAATTAATTTGAGAGTAGTAAGGGGCACTGTGCTACTCTTTCCTATTCAGCCTTGATCATTGAGGGCTCTAACCCCATTCAGTTACAAATGTAGCCTTCGTAGTGCTAATGCCACTTAACAGCTGTTGTTATCCTTGACAGCATACTGGAATAATGTTACCTTTCATTAGTTACTAATCAGGTCTTTGATTGTGAGTGTGGTTTTAGGCCATTTAGCATTATAGGGGTGAGGATTGGCTCTTTATTGCTTTGTTTTGCGCTAGGCCAAAGCTTGAGAATATTTGGTGTACACTGGAAATAGGAGCCATTGAGTGAGGACAGGTTTTTATGACAGCTTGGGTCAAAGTCCAGAAACAGAAGTTTTACACTCCCATGGAGCTTTCTGTAATAGACTTTTTATTTGACGCTGGAAAGCTGCGCTACAGTACTTGAGGTTTCAGGCCCTGTGTCTGGGACTGTTTTCCTTGGTCATTCTTTTTTTTTTCAATTCCAAACACGGTAGCATTTTTATTTGCAAGGTATTTACATTAAGATCAGATGACCAGGGTAAAATAAATATTCTATTCATTCTTAAAATTTTTGTTTCTATAATTGCATAAGAAAATAAGCTTTCACAATTTGCAGACAAATGACTTGCTAAGCATATTTTTGTTAGCTAGTATGGGAGATAATAAAACCCTCTGGGCATTGACCCAGTGTGACTTTGATATTATTTGTAATATTTTTATGATGGTAATTCTGATGCAATAATGCATTTTTCCTTACATTGTTTGTAACTAGGGTTCATATAGCCAGTTCTAAGCTTCCTTTTCATGCCCTCTAAGAATTCTCCTGCACTGAATTCTTCCTGCCTGGAGGAATCCCAGGGAGTCCCTGGGATGATGTTTCTCATAGTCTCACTGTCTCTAGTGTTTGACAGTTGCAAATTCTGATCCATTTTAGGGCCTGAACTACATGATCATGATTCTTAAAAATGTGGCAGACCTGTTGCAACAGCAATTTGTCATAGGTGGGATGTCTTGAAATAAGTCCATGGCCTTAGTATAACGCAAGCTTAAATAGGCTTGTTGCAAAATTCAGTGAGTTTTTTCTTCCGTTTGTGATCTGACGATCTGTAGAAATTGTCAGTATTTTCAAAAGGTTGTGTCTTCAGCACCTGAAGAATAGGATTTTCTTTCAGCATGTTGACAGGTTATGTTACACCACTTCCTGTTTATATTTATATTTTTATTTTGCTATAGGGCACGTGCCCTTACTGGACAGAGAGAGGGAAAGTGGTATGCACCCGCTCCCCCCACCACCACTGAAAAGATGACACACCTCATTCCTTTCTTCATTCTCTTCTCCAGGATTTTGAGCACCCATGCACACAAGCCACCAGGTCCAGGACTCCAGCCGTGCAGTTAGCCATGTGGCATCCAGCCGCCTTAACGGCCCTATCACCAGTTAGCTGCGAAATTTGCTTTGTAAATAATTTCACCTAAGTAGATCATTTGACTCTGGCTTCTAATATCATTTCTGTTAGAATATTTGCAATGCTTTACCTTGATTACAGAGAATGTATCTTACAAACGTGACCCCATTCTCTAGATTCCAAAGCACGAATGAACTTAGACCTTCGCTTGAAGTGTCCAGTGCGTTTTAGTAACATTTGGAAAAGATTTCTTTTGTGATTATAAAGGCTAAACAGAACTGTTGGCTATTTGTTCGTTGATTCCCTAGTTTTCAACCTGATCATTTATTAAACTTCTAACTGTTGTTAAGGTATATTTGTCCTTCATTCTCAGGGTAAACCGTAGGATCAAAACCTTTTCCTAGAATAAAAAGCCTTTAGTAAGGATGATAGGATTGTTCAATAAATAAATCAGTGAGTTGGTTGATAGAGAAGAGTAGAAAAATGACTCATTTCTGAATTTAGCATGCAGATTAGCTCTGACTCTGCAGCACTCCCTATGAAATTAGTTTAGTGGCACAGATGTAGACTCGGTTGAGTGGTGTTGTAGCTGATGGCTGTGGTTTGAAAATATCTGTTAGGTAGGGTCACAGGAAAAGTGCCTGTAAGCTGCATACCTAGGAATAAAAACTGGAGAAAGTCTTTCCACATGAGTCATTCATTTGATATTTAGCTTTGTAATCTTATTTACTGACTTGGTAGTCTCATTTTATTTTGAATTATATGGCATTATTATTTTTAAGTGTAAGTGCTTTATTCATTTTCTCTGAATGGTAGGAATTTATATTTATTGCCAACCAGATGTTTAAGGCGGAAAAGCAAACTGATTGTTATGTTCATAAAAATCATTTTGATGAATATTCTAAAAAGCCTTTTTAAAAGCCTTTAAAGATACATGTCTCTCTGGATTCTGACTTGTGGTGAGTGCACTCTTTAAAGTCTCATATACCACTGCTGCCTCCCTTTATTCTTTGGGGGAACTTGGGGA